ACTCATACATTACTACAACAAACACTATATACAGTGAAAAAATATAACAACAAAAAATGGTACCTAACATTATCCATTATGTGAATGGTGTTTTTCTATAATAAGAAAAATTTAGTTTTCACCACCTAAATCCAGTCCATTATACTGACTATTTTGGTTCGAGGATCAGTACTGGCATCAAGTGGTTCCAGCCCCTTCATGATCACAGTTATAGGGATCGAATCGTGGTCTACCCTACCAAGTCTAGCGCCAATCACCACTGAACCAACTAACGATTGGTATTTTTTTTCTATATCTTTTTCATGCTCTTATTTTTGCTTTTTTTTTCCAATTCTTCATAAGCCTCTTGAATTTTTTTTAATATGAGAGCCATGTCACCATCAGGATCAAATTCCTCAACTTTAAGTGCATGACTTTTGTTTTTCTTTTCTACTTTTTCATCTCTGGTAAGTCTTTGGAGTTTCATTTCATGTTCCTATAATTTACCAAAGAGAGTACGTGGGTCAATAGTCGTTAAATCCTTAGATTCACAAATCGCAATGAATTTAGGTTGCCAACTATATCTTAGGCATCTAAGAATTTATGACTAATTTCTCATTTGAGAATGTTTTTCTCATAGAGCTCATATCACTCACGATATAGGTGAATCATGTTTGCATTTGACTTAGGTTCTCTTCGGGTTTCATTCTGAAGAGTTAATACTCATGGGTTAATGTGTTCAACCTTGCCCTCTATTCCTCATTAGTTCGTTCACGATTAACTCGGGAGATGTCCCCTGTTTCTTTAGCAGTTTTGCAGTGAGAAACTCACAAAAGTTCATTAAGATCAAGAGCAATAGTGATGATATTTTTTCTTTCAAACCGCATTTTACATTATTCTTGTCCTCTTTGGTTCAATCCTTTTTAGGTTTTTCTACTATAACACCATCAACATTGTATGCAGGGACAAATGGAATCTCTCTCACAGCCTTTCAAATACCACGATCTATCCTTTCTATAAAAAATTTCATTTTCTCTTTCTACAAACTACACCCTTTCTATTGAAGGATAGAGGTTTGTTTAGTGAATAGCCCGAATAAATTTTTCTTCCTGAGATGAATTATCCTTAATATGAGTCAAGCTCTAATGTCATTTGCTGGACAAGTAACTTCAAGCAAAAGAGGGAAGGGGGATTGTGATACTTGAAATTCAAGATTAATTTTATACTTTTCTCGATTAAGATCAACTTAGTAATTTTGTTTGAGTAAATTGCAGCAAAAATAAATATTGAAAGTAAATAACATAAATTAAAAGGATAGAGTTGTAAAGACAAGATTCTCCAAATGATAGTTTTGATGAAGACAAGCTACAAGAATGTGCTCGTGTAAAAAAGAATGGACCAAGACTCGTGTCAAGAGATATTGTATAAAAGTCCAATTTTCAAGTTTTAAAGATTAAGCTTTGGATGCTTTTAAGGAATAATCATTTTTAAGGAATGATCATGACATTTCAAGGTGTAAGTTTGCACTCTCTTTATGTTAAATACAAGTGTTTAACAATTTTATGCAAAAACATAACATATTGCATTCCTACATTTTACATGCATCAAACTTGGCCAAACCTCATTTTTTCTAAGGTATCTTTCTGCCTCAAAGCAGTGGTAACCGGTTACCATAATTATAGTAACCAGTTGCATGTGTCTAACATTAACATCCTTGGCCATTTTCAGATGGTGTAACCGGTTATCACATTTCATGTAACTGGTTACATGCATGAATTTTTCAAAAATTTTACATCACTTCAGGTGTAACCGGTTACGCTCTTTTTGGTAACCGGTTACCACTGAAGCAGTGGCAGTGGTTCACTCATTTTCTGATGCAAATAAATTTTTGAAAGCCTTTTTGAACCATGACATCATTTCATGTATTTGTACGCTTTTAGAAAGGTGTTAAGACACTATATAAACTATTCTTTTCAGAATTTGAAACTCACCTCTTTCATTTGTAATTCAAAATTTATATTCTCTCACTTTCAAAATCAAGTGTTCTTGACATGACTTTTTGTTGAAACTTCTGCATATCAATTTCATTGCATTTCAAATAGTTTCAACTACATAAAATAATTAAGCACTTATCCTACATATTGAGAGTTGCTTACTGGAAGGAGAAGATCAATTCAAGTGATTGATACATTGTTATACAACTTCAAAATACTTGTAAAAATACAGATTATTGTTGATTTTCTTGTTGTTCAGGATTGTTAGAAGCAAGAGAGTGATTAAGAGAGTATTGTTCTCTTATTTCACTTTGTAAGATTATAAGGGGAATGCTATTATTGATTGGTTTAAGATTTTGTGTATAGTGGCTAGGATAACTTGTACAAACCGAAGTACTCTCAAATTGTGAGGGGGGCCAGGATATATCGTTGTTTTCTTTATTTTTCTGCACTTTACCACTTTCATCACTTAACATCCAACCGGGAAAATAATCACATCCAAGTCTAAAACCATAAAAATTTTAAAGTACCTAATTCAACCCCCCCTCTCTTAGATGCATTCCATACTTACAATTGGTATCTGATCCGACTTGATCAGAAGAGGATCACTAGCTGACCACACTCTGTTGGGCTGCTACCTATTCACCGGTGTTGAAGAAGAGGAGGGGGTGTACCTGCAAGACACTTTGATGCCAAAGTAAGGAATTGGGCAGAGTGAAAGCAAGTACAGAAAAGAGGGTAAAAAGAGAATATCTGACCCTCTTGGAGAAGAGGGTATTTATAGAGAGACCTCAACGCAGGGTCAACGGTCATTTGAGTTGGGCTGGATGGTCAGGCCCAACCCAAGTGACTGTTAAGGCTTACGTGGCGTAGTGAAGACCAGAATGTGGTCTTCGCCCTAGTTCAACTGTTCTGTGATCTCCGGAAAGTGGGTTTGACCTGCTCTTTTGGAGGTGGGTAGTTGGTTGGTGACGTATCCCCGCGGAGGGGAGCACGTAGAAAACGTGTGAAGGACACGTCGTCCTGCCCGACAGGGGAGCGGGTTCTGCCCGTGGAGGGGCAGGTCCTGCCCGCGGAGAGGGCAGCGTCTGGTGATGGGAAAGTCTTACGCTCAATATAGATGGGCAGGTTCTGCCCGCGGAGGGGCATTACCTGTCCGTCGGGGACCTTGTGCTCGGAGGTCGCGGCCCAAGTTGGACTGGGCTTGGCAGGATATTATTGGGCTGGGCCTGCCTGACCAAGCCGGGGCCCAGGCCGGAATAGGAGCCCCCCAAGTCGTAGCTCCGAGGGAGGGAGCGAGGACTTGATGATGTTGAGTTAGGGAGGAGAGATTTACCCATGAGGGAAGAGCTCTCCGGCTCGTGTTTAGCGGGGACGCGAGTCTTGGAGTCGTTCCTCGTCGTCGGGTGTCCGGGCTTGAGGACACGTGTCGGCGGGGAGACCTGAGGGGATGCGACTGTCAGCCTTCGCCACGTGTCACGCGCTGGGTGGCTGCTAGGGCGGCTACCCTAGGGTACTCAAGTGCCTAGCGACGCTTCGAGTCCCGTGTTGGGATATAAGTAAGCGAGCCCCCGCTCATTCTCCACTTTTCGTCCTCTCGCTCTCAAACTTTCTGCTTTGCCGTCTTGCCGCCGTCTGGTCTCTCCGTCGCAGCAGCCGCCACGTACTCCGCCGCAGATCGAAACATAGTAAGTTTCCTTTCTCCTTTCTTTCGTTTTTCCCGTTTGCTTTAGGACTGTGGTCGGGGCATGTTGAATGCCCCGAGGAGAGGTGAGGATCTCCGCCGTTGTAGGGGGATTTTCTAGGGTTTTACCGTGAGCGTCCCAAAGAGAAATGTCAATTCCGATGAATGCCTCGGGGACGGATGCTTGTTCCGATGAATGCCCCGGGGAAATACGCTTATTCCGATGAACGTCCCGGGGAGCGACGTCTATTCCGATGAACACCCCAGGGAGAGCTTGTGGGTTAGGTTGCGCCGGTTCCCCGGGGAGGTGGTAGGTTTTGGGTAGAGCCACCGGGGACGATGCTCGGTGTGTCCTCGTCACCCTTTCACTTGACTTGCGGTGGAAGAGTGAATTTGATCTTTGTCATCGAATTCACCGTTACCTTCTGCTTTTCAGGTGTTAATGACTACGTTTGTCCCGGGGACAATGGTCGAGGACAATGAACCGGACGTTCCACACTTTGACAAGCGCGTCCTTCCCCTCGAGGATTGGGTGGCCGAGGAACCTCAGTCCACGCCTTCCTGCTTTGCTTCTGACCCGACGGGGGCCTATGCCACCGTGGAGGACCGGCGAGAAGGAGACCCCCAGAATTGGCAAGTTTATCGTCTCCGGACGGGCCACCGAATCTGCTCGAAGTACGGGAGGATGCGATTCCCGATGTATGAATTCTACTTCCCGATATATGAATTGACAAGATTCTCCAAATGATAGTTTTGTAAATAATTATTATATATGAGTTTGTAAATCCCTTTGAAAATAATTGAATTTTAAGAATAATTCGAGGATTTATAAAAAAATTTAAAATAATTACTAAATGAAATAATTTTTTTAAGTAATTATTATATACGAGTTTGTAAATCAATATGAAAATAAATTAAAATTTAAAAATAATATGAGGGTGTTTCTATGTGCTAAATACAAAGAAATAATAGAATTTATATAATAATAATAATATAATAATATTATATGTGAAATTATAAAAATTCAACAATATTATATAGTAATTTTTTTGACAAAAAAAAAAAGGTATATTTCCAGCTAGATGAACATTTTACTACAGTACATTTTCCTTAAAGTATGCCGAACAAAAGTTAGCCTGAAGTCTAGTTCTACACATTTGACCAAATGGCCAACATTGGTGCTTAGACCAACAACGTGTCATACATTTTCATGTCCGATACAATTTGTTCCTATGCACTTCCATCTTCAACGTCTCACTCTTGAATCCAAAATTCAAACATCACTTTATCTTCATGGCATTCTTGCTAAATTAATACATTCCTCAAACAGATAAGAAAAAAAAATGGGGCACGGAGAAAAATCAAAAGACCGAAAAGATAAGAGATTGCAAGAGATTTCACTTTTGAGAACCATTCCTTATTCTGATCACCAGAGGTTGCATTTCATTTCTAGCTACATGTTCTTTCATTGCTCAAAATTTTAATAGAAAGTTTTGCCGTATATTGTAATCCTATCTGATCTGAGAAATTAATCTTGGGAGATATGTATGAAATTATATATAAATTAACTTTTGGGTTATATATAAATATATAGGTGGTGGTCTAAGGAAACAATTGCTGTGGTCACTGGTGGAAATAGAGGAATTGGGTTTGAAATTTCTAGGCAACTTGCTGATCATGGAGTAACTGTAATTCTAACATCAAGAGATGCTAGTGTTGGTGTTGAATCCATTAAAGTCTTACAAGAAGGTGGCCTTGATGTTTCTTGTCATCAACTTGATGTATTAGATTCTTCATCCATCACCCAATTCTCTGAATGGCTCAAGGAAAATTATGGCGGCATAGATATTCTGGCAAGTTCATAAAACATATATGGTTACAGTATATGTATCTAAGCAATAATGTATCATATATGTTTGCAGGTAAACAATGCCGGTGTTAATTTCAATTTCGGGTCGGATAATTCAGTTGAAAATGCTCAGGTGGTTATTGATACAAATTATTACGGAACCAAACGTATGATTGAAGCTATGATTCCGTTGATGAAGGCAACCGCTGCTGGTGGTCGCATTGTAAATGTGAGCTCGCGTCTAGGTCGACTGAACGGAAAGCGAAATGTAAGTGTAAAAATCAACATTATGCTTGATTTTTGAAGTGGTTATGATTAAAGTCGAATATTTTTTTTAATGTTGTAGAGATTGGAGAATGATGAACTGAGAGAGCAACTAAGTGATGTGGAGAATCTTACTGAGGAACTGATTGATGGTGTTGTGACTACTTTTCTACAACAAGTGGAAGACGGAACGTGGAAATCGGGAGGATGGCCTCGAACATTTACGGATTATTCTGTGTCGAAAATGGCTGTGAATGCTTATACAAGATTTATGGCAAGGAAACTTTCTGATAGGCCTGAAGGGGAAAAGATATTTATCAACTGTTATTGTCCTGGTTGGGTGAAAACAGCTCTAACAGGTTATGCAGGAAGTATTACAGTGGAGGATGGTGCTGATACTGGTGTTTGGCTTTCTCTTATTCCTGAACAAGCTATTACAGGAAAGTTTTTTGCTGAGAGAAGAGACATAAATTTCTAACCAACTTCAATGGAAACTAGTTTTGGAAATGTTACTCAATAGAGGAGATTATTTTAGGCACTTTTGTGATGGAGTTGTTATCATATTGTTGAATGTTGTTATTATTATACATATTCTTTCACTGAGTTCATTCTTGTAGAATTTAACTTGCACAATGTATTGTTTTATTATTAAGCTAAATTCAATTTCTGAAAAGAGTTTTTAATTGAAGAAGATAGCATACTATTATTTGGATAACAATCATTTTTTAAAAGAATAAGTGATACGAGATATAATATTATCCTCACAAATAATTTGATTTTATGTAAAAAAATTTGCGATATTATGAAATCAAAATGTCATGGTATAAAACTATTTTGATTCTCAAAATACTTTTTTAAAGTTTGATTAATTTATTAATGCAAAAATCTCTATCAAATTCATACATGCATGTTTTTTTTATCTACTCAGCTATACATCAAAATATCATATATAAATTAATTTTAAAAAAAAATATCTATTTATAAAAATGTCTATTTTTTCCGAAGACACACGATAGATAGACTGAAATATATTAAATAGAACATTAAAAATAATATGATATCATAATTAAAACTATATAAATAAATGGAAGTAGTACATAATTTAAATTTTTTAAAGAATATTATACCATTAAAAGGTGAATTTTTGTTTGAAGTGGTTAGGTTTTTGTGACGTGGCGAAAGAAAACAATTTGTGGAGAAAAAAAAAGCCACGGTAGCAACAGAAAAACAAAAGCCTAATTACAAAGCGTATTTGAGAGAGAAATGGAGAAAGATTAACGAAATTCGGAATGGGTTCTTTGTTTATGAGAAGAGTTGTTCGAGTCCTCAACTCGTCGGCGCCACCGTCAACCACTCTTCTCCGGCCACTTTTCAGATACAATACGATTTCCTCTTTCACTTCACAATCTGATAATAACAACGGAACTCAGTCGAATAACTCGCTTCACATTGATTTATCCAATGAAGAAACCAAACGAAGCTTGTTCAACAGGTTCAATTTCTGAATCTTCCTCTTTCTTTTTCGTGAATTAAGTGATGATAAATGATGATAAACCCTAACGCGTGTTACTGAATGATCTTTGTGTTTCTAATAGGCTATTGTATAGAAGCAAGCAGCGAGGGTTTCTGGAACTTGATTTGGTTCTAGGAAAATGGGTGGAGAATAATATTCATTCCTTGGATGAAAATCATATTCGATCTCTCATTCATGTCCTCGACGTGGTAATTTTTTCTTCTTCTTTGTTTAGCTTCAGATTTACTGCTAACAAAATTGTGGAGAATTTATAGTACTCGTTTGGTGAAATTTATAAATATTACTTAGGAATTATGAATTTAATTCCAGTTTTATAGGTTAGAATTTGAATAAGAGCTTGTTTGAATTAACAGATTAATTAAGAGTTTGTAGCTAAGGGCTATAAAGTAAAGTCAAATTCTTTTCATATAGAATATCTTCGAGACTCTTGGAATTGAATTGAAAACTTGTGACAGGCATCTCATAAGCTCTTCCGAATAGTCTCTAGAGTGTTTATGGCAAATACTGATAAGTAAGTTCAAATAAGTCAATTTAAACTAATTCAATATTGTTTCTTTCACTGGATTCTTTACAAAATTCACCAGTTAAGGGTACTACAGGGGAAGAATACACTAGATCAAATATATTATCTACCTGGTTTCTGGAGATGAATCTAAGGAAGATGGAATTGGGATGATGTTTGGCTGAGAATTTTGATGAACTGCATGATTGCAATACAATCTTGAATATTCAAATCTTAAGACATTGGTTTTAACAATATGTAGTGTCTAATATAATGAATTTTGGAGGTAAAACTGTGTATCTATTTATAAGGGCTAGAGGTTTGCCATACAGGCCTGAATGGATGTTCCGAATGCGAGTCATTATTCTGTCTGTGTCAGTTTGTGTATGAAAGCGATCTTCGTTCTTTGTTGATGTTTCTCATAAAAAATTGGACTTCATTCAATTAATTTCATCTGTCCAATGGTCCAGATAGTTTTCCCTAAGCACCTATGCTTCTGTTTGGCTTATTTTGCCTGTTGGCCATTGATGCATCTACCATAGTTCTAAATTGTGGTAGTGGGGACAGTTATGTTGCAAACCTTGATATCACGAGCAAATACAGTTGATGCGGCCGTAATTGTGGTTGCTGACCACAATTTAGATCTATGGCATCTACGTTAAGAAGGGACTAGTAGTTTGGAATCTTATTAATATAAAAGTTTAGCATTTTTTTAGTACAATAAAGGATGAAATGGTGGTTTGTATCTTGCCTGTTGGTGGGACTAATCTAAATGAAGTCGGCGAGAATAATTCGACTTTATCCTTTGGAACTAACCTATGTTGTATCCCCTTATGATTCAAACTAGATCCGTAATCTTTAAATGTTTAAGGGTTTTGCATTACGAATGTACATATTGCCATGATTTTTCCAGGGGATTAAATTTGCAGTCTTAATGGGAATGGAGATGTGTTAGCAGCATGTTACTTAACTTTGGGAGAGAGAGAGAGAGAGGCAGATATCTTTGTTTGAGTCTATATTAACTTCAAAATCTTACTTTTGTTATGCAGGAGAATCCAGATTTATGGAAATGGTTGTCTGGGCAGGAGCAACCCCCAGAATCACTTGTCACTAACCCTGTGAGTCTCGTTTCAATATTTGAATGAAATTTCAATTTATTAGGGGTAAAATGCTCATACCAGTTGTTTGTTACGTAGGTCTTTGCTGCAGTGCGTGAAGGAGTTCTGAAGAATCTTAATAGTCATTCTTCTCCCGAAACAAGAGCAACACCGGGGCAACCATGGGTAAGAGGCTGGGATGATATCCAGAAATTTCGGGGCGGTCCCATCACTGGGAATCAGTAGCTTGGGTATAAATGATATTGCCATTTGTAACGATAAATGAATTCTTATACCATCTATGTTATAGAAAATAAGGGCTTAATAGCAACAACTTGAAGGTTTGATTTACGCCAGTAGTTACTAGAAATCAGTAAAAGAATAAAATGAGTGAAAAGATTGTGGTTTTCGCATTCTGGTAAACCATTGTTCTGTATTAATTTATATAACTTTTGTTGGTGGTTGTATGTTATAGCTTAAAATGAGTGAAAAGATTCTGTATTAAAATGAGTGAAAAGATTCTGTATTAAAATGAGTGAAAAGATTCTGGATTTTTCTTTTTACATTCTAATAAGTTTATCTCATTTTGTATTCTACAAGTGTGAATCTGTTCAAAAACATTTCTGTTTTCATTTTCTAAAAGTTTATATCATTGAGTTCATATTTTATTTGGTGATTTTGTTTTGAACTCCTTCTATTTCTGCACTGGTTGTGATATGTTGAGAATTGAGAACAAAGAAATACTTTGATCTAAATCAAGGGTAATCGTTGTTACTACAAACACAGTTTCTTTAACTTTTCTACCAGTGAATAAGAATTGGTTATGGAAAAATGATTTTGATTAAAATTGAGTTGAAGGAAAAATGAATTATTTTTTGATAAATTTTACTCAATAGGAATCAAATAGTGAAAATCAATTATTGGTTGATTAATTTTTGTTCGAATTTACAAAATTCATTTTATTTAAAATTTGGTTCATTGGTGTGTAACAAAAACACGGTTGAGAATTATTTCACGGATATCTTATCTTATCCACGCGATTCATATATACAGTACATTCCCTCTTCAGCTTTCCGAAATCAGCCATGGCCTCTGCCATAGAAGAACGCATTTGTTTGTGTCTCTTCCTCTTCCTCTTCCTTCATCTCTCAACTTCAACCACAGAGATCCCAATTCCAGCGCCGTGGCCGGAACAGTTTCACTCAGTGCTATTCGTCAACAGAAGCGGCACTCTTCGAAAAACAGACTTATGGTACGATTGGCCCAACCGTCGCAACTTCAACATCATCCAGTATCAACTAAGTGTTGTCAAATACGACGTTGAATGGAACAACGGAACCTCTTTTATCTACATCCCTTTCAACAGCACTTGTGAAAAGCTTCATTTTGATGTCGGAATTCTCCCACCCAATTGGCTCCAAGGTGCTAACTATTTAGGCCAAGAGTATGCTGATAATTTTCTGTGTAATGTTTGGGAGAAAGTGGATTTTATTTGGTACTACGAGGATGTTCTCACTAGAAGACCCATCAAGTGGATCTTCTACGATGGTTAGTTGTTATTGCTAATAATTATTAGAAACTCACACACAAAACCGTGAGGACTAAGTTCAAACTCTGGTGATGACGTCCAACCGAACAATATCGGTTTCTGTCTTTTGAGTTTGGATTTGTGGACAAAAAATATGTTTTTGCTAAATTAATTAATTTGTAATTGTGTTGCTAGTGATTTGCAAGGCTGATATATATGATGGTTGGTGAATGCAGGAATGGTTTTTCATGTTATGACATTTGAAGTTGGTGCAGTGCTTGAAGATGAGCATTGGCAGGCTCCTGGCTATTGTTTTAGTAAGTCAGAGCCTGAACCTAGGATACACAACATAATGAACAGCTCCTTATTAGATTTAAAAGCTGGTGGTGGTGGTGGTGATGCTGCTTCGTTTCGTCGGACATTAATGAGTGAGATGAGATGAGATAAGCAGTGTTTATCCCATCTAAGCCCAGAAATAGCACAGTGTTTATAATCGTGAGGTTTACATATGTTCTGTATATAACACTCTAGCTATATGCACTTTGTTTTGTCGATAAGTGGTTACTCTGTATGCATATTAAGCTAATGTTTATCAATAGAAAATTTGGTGTTGGTTTGCATAATCCAAACATGCATATTTCATGTCTTTAATACACAAAACACTTGATATCATGGATAGAAATTTAAAGAGTGAGTGGTAGTTTTATTCAACACAGCATCCTTTGTCACACACCAAGCTTTACATTATCAAATCCCATATGCATCAAACATTGGCTTATTTGTATGCACTGAGTTTTTCTATCCATCTACCACTTGCATTCTAGCCTTTTTTTCCAAGCATTCAATCACATTTTCAAAGCTTCTTTTGAAAGAATCCAAAACCTCGTTTTCAAGTTGTGATCCAACACGACTCCAATCAATCCCCAGCATCTCAATTGCAGCGTAAATGCTTTCAGCCTCTGATACTTTTGCATCGATGGTTCTCGAAAGAATACCATGGTCCATGAATGCTTTAAGAGCAGGGTCTGGTGGTATGGTTGAAATCTGTATATGCACAAAAGAACAACCACTTATTCTATTAACCTTATAGTATTCATTCAATGTAATTAATCACATGTTTAAACTGCTTTATGAGCTAAATTGTTGTCGAAATTACCGTATCTGGTCCAATAAGGGAGTTAACATAAAAAGCATCAGGGTAAGATGAATTTTTCACATTGGTTGATGCCCACATCAATCTTTGCTTCTTGGCTCCTCTCTTCTCCAAGAGCTCCCATCTTGGACCCGAAAACATTTTCTGGTAAAGCTGATACGCTAATACTGCTTGAGCAACTGCGGCCTGAAATAATCATTACAACATTGTAAATCAAATTTTAGAAGCGAAAACACAAACTGTGTGAGCTTCACATAATGATCTGCGTCTACAGACTCGGATCCAAAGGCAGGGGAAAAAAGTTTCACACCTTTCCTGTGAGATCAAGAGCCTCAGCAGTGCCAATTTCGTCAAGTTTCTTGTCAATTGCAACATCCACTCTACTGATGTAAAAAGCTGCTGCACTTGAAACCTTAGACAGATCATTCATACCAGAAGCCTCGAGACCATCCAAGTAAGCATTAATAACTGCTTCATATCTAGGGAGAGAGAATATCAGCTGTTCAAAATACACAAACAATAAGCATAATATTGCCGCTGCAGCCTGCAAGGATCAAGTTTTGCGACATAATTGTAGCACTGACGCTTTTGATAATGTCAACATATCATGTTCTGTTCATATATGTGTCCGTGCTTCATATATAAGAATGTTCATAAATAAGAAACTTACAGTGACATTTACACTTATTCCAAGAGAAATAACTTCCTTTATCGAAGGAATGGATTCATCAATTGCAGGAATTTTAACATACTCCCTCCATTCTCTTTTATAAGCAAATTTTGACTTTTTAAGTTCATTCAATAAATAATGTATTTGGACTATATATAGATTAGATGCATTAATTACTTAATGAATCTAAAATATTAAATTTTGCTTATAAATAGGAATGGAGGGAGTAAACATTTGGACATGCAACCATTTTATGAAGCCATTTTGCTGCTTCAATTGTTCCTTTGGTATCATTTGCAAGCTTGGGAGAAACTGCAACAGATACATAGCCATCTACACCCTCAGATTCAATGTAAATTGGTTCCAAGAGTTTGCAAGTATCATGTATGTCTTTTACAACCAATTCCCAGTAGGCACTTTCTATGTCTTTTCCTGCCTCTACCAAATCCCTGCTAAACCAAAAATCAAATTTATATTGGATCTAACTAATTTCTCTAAACGGAATTCTTGAAAGCGAAAAAAAAAGACCTCAGCTGCTGATTGTAAGCATTGGATGATGATATAGCTTTTTCAAATATCTGCAACAAGTTAAACACTATCATAGTGCAGGGTTGGTAGAAAAAACAAAAACAAAAAGCAAAATCATAATGTTTTCAAGAGAGAAATATAGATAAAGAAAAAATGGGAAGAGTACCGCAGGGTTGGTAGTAACACCTCTGATTCCAAAGGCAATGAACGGAACCAAATCTGAAACGGGTCGACATAGATTATCATAGTAAGGACTTTGTCTTTGTTTCTCATAAAGATCATGAAGAATAGTCTTTGTCGTTGTCATTTTCACATTACTACCATTGTTCATTTTTGCACACAAACACTTTAAGCTGTGATTTGGAAATTGAGAGATAACAATTAACAAGTGTTATATAAGATGCAATTAGTTGAAAAAAAGAAGAAAAATATTGGAACTAACTAACCTCAAGGGTTTATAATAATATTGCAACAAACTTGGTCTAGTATGAAAATGAAAATCAAGTGTCATCTTGATAGGTTTTGTTGGTTTAACAGAACTTGTGATGTTTGAGATGGAAGCCATGTGTTATTTTTAGGGAATGGACAATGGGAACACAACTCAAAATAAGAAAGAGAATAAGTTATTACTATATGCATCCCAAACACACTTGTGTCCTCACCATTTGGTTGGTCTTCACATTTGTATTATGATGATAATTGTCGACAAATCTTAGCCGTTTAAATGTGTTTTAGTTATATTAGTTAGGTAGTTGTTTTTATTGGTTATATAAGTTTTATAGTAGTTTATTTAATGACAATTTTCATGATGAATACATATGTTTTTTATTGCATTTCTCTACTTTTCTCAAGAATAGTAATAAGTTACTTTGTGAAGTTTTGAAGTACTTGCTTAACTATATAAGTCATTAACAATGAAATTAATACTTGTAATTTTATTAGATATGATTCAAATCCTTATTAGTTAGAATAGCTTTTCTTGATTGTGACATTAATCTTAAAACTTATATTCAGTTTACTAAAAATTTATGCGTACAATTTGTGTATACTGTAATAAAGTAGGTTTCCTTATTGTATTTTAGTTTTTATTTTTATTTTTTATTTTTTGTGTTTTTCTAAAATAAATTGAATTATATATTTCTTTTAATTTTTTGAACTATACCATCTATTTTTGAAGACCCTTCTCCACAATCTCATAAATCGAACAAGCTTCAATCATAACTATGGCTCGATCACCACAAAGTGAAATTTAAATGTTTTTAAAGAGTCAGTAAACACATCAAACAATGTGAAAGAAATAAACCAAACCAAAAAAAGAAGAAAAACTTTTCCAGCCAACCAAAAAGATGTGAAGAAAGATTTTAAGA